GATACAATTCTTCTATTTTCGTTTTGTTCTCAATAAAGTTATTTTAGGAAATGCAGAAACACCTCTATGATTTCATTTCCTGCACTTTGCTTCCTGAAACAACAATTGCCTTCACACCTGCTGCTCATTCGCACCTCTTTCAATGAATAGTTAATTTTTATCTCTCGTCATTTTGCCAGCTAGGTGTCCGTATTTTGCTAGCATGATCCTTCTTCTCGCAATCATTCCTAGCTGCCCGTTTTCAGTTCACGTATCACATTTCTTTTCTTCCTTTACCCTAAAGTCATGCTCCTTTTCCTACCCTATTCTTCCGTTTACTTCACATACTCACTTGCGTTTATCTTCCCTGATTTTATCAGCAAGGTCGCTCTGAGCCGTTTTGTTTCTTATTCTGTCAGCGAGATCGTTGCCAGTGAGGGTGAAATCATGGATTTGCCTTCTGCTCTGTGGATGGGGCAAGCAGGATTTTTGTCGATGACAATTTTGTTACCCCTCTTTTTCCAACGATGTCTCTGGTTACGGGGGCGTTTTCCTCATCTGGCTCCTTTATTTCATCGGCAAAAATAAGATGTGCCTTTGTCCTGATTTTTGTCATCCTGTTTTGTTAGTGAATGGGGGCGTTATCCTGATTTAGCCCTCCTGTTCCTCCGTCAACAAGGTATCAGCGAGTGGGCAAGGGTATAGGAAAGGGACGAAGGGAAAGTGCATAGACGAAGGGGTGTTTGGATTTTCCGTTTTTCAATAAAGATTTTTTCCACTAAGAACATCTTCATTCATACACTGAAACAAAAAAAAATTGGGGAGGACATATTGCTTCCTTAATAATCTTCGGTCGCTTGCTATATAAGTAAAATCTGGAAGGCCTTATCTGCATAACTCTTGCTCCTGCCAGCAGTGGCAAAAGACTTTAAAAGGGTGTGGAGGAGGGGATGGGGGCTGGAAAAAGGGGAAGAAAAAAAGAGAAGGGAAGAAGCGGGGGCCACACTCATTCTTAATTTACTGTCTTCGAAAATCCGGTGGCAATCGGTCGTGTCTTTGGGTAGTAACTGCGTTTGGATTGCTTTGCTTCATTCGAGTGGAATAATGCTGTTTTTATTAGAAACTTGAATTACCGATCACTTTGTGTGGTTTTATGTTTGATGGATGTTCCAGATGGGTAGAATCCTTCCGTACTCACTTCTAAAAAAGGTAAAGAAATTAGGAACTAGCCTGAACTGTAGCATGTTCCAGTAGCAATTCCCGCTAGCAAAGCTGTAGGCGGCTTTCTCTTTTGAGAATGTGCTGAACTGAAACTGACAGTTATGGTACTAAATAGGAATTTATACGACTTAGTGGACGGAAACATTCATGTTTAGAATTATCATCCTTATTCCAATTTTTTCCGAATTGTTTTATTTTAAAATCATTCCACCACTTAGACAAAAAAAAAAAAAAAAACTGATGGCGGAGTATTGAATTTGTGGAAAAGACTTTGAACTTCATGAAAAGTGAGCTGGATTAGTTAACCAATTTCATGCAGTACTACTTCTCAATAATCCCTTGCAGCCTTCTTATAAGTAATCCACGAAAAAGGAAGCCAGGGAGTGATTGCTGGTGGTACTTGCTACTCGCAAAATACTTCTGAATGCTTTCACCTCTCACGGAGCGCAAACATGAAAGCGGTTTTGACTTTCGATTTTTGATACCGACAACAAAATGCACCACATAACATTTAAATGTAGCATTTTTTGGCAAACCTTTCCCTTTTTGATTATCGGCTAGGAATTTTTAGTTTTAAAATATACTGTCTAAGACTTCCAAGCCGTGCTTCTTTAGATGTACCTATAAAAAAACTTTTTTGTTGCTTTGATCAAAGCTTCACAGTTGTGGCAACGTTTTTCCTTCCTGAATCAGCCCCGCCTTGAGATATCTGCTATTTGTCCTGACTCCTCTTCCTCGTTTTTTAAGCCTAGAGAAGTGCATTCAGATGTCTAACTGTTATGTTTCCGAGGAAATCCAATTATAATGCTGTACCGCAGCGTTGCCAGCTAATGAGCTTCAGTTTTTCATTCTTATAATCCGGCTTACTTCTAGTTATGATATTCTGCCCCTATATCTCCAGTTTTTTCACTATCAGTTTGCTTGTAAGCAGCCTTCGAAGGAAGAAGCCATAAGCAACCTTGTAGGCGGGTGGTTGCTGTTGGCATTTGCTACCATCTGGATCACCTCCAAATATCGTCACCTTTCATGAAAAGTGAATGCAGAGGGAATTTAAGCGTTTTGATCTCTGATCTCTCCCCTTTTTTTAGCCTAAACAAGAAATTGATCCGAAGTTTTTTCGATAAGTGTCACAGCCAGGGTTTTTTCCCGAAATAGGAGTAGGGCAGAGATCAAAAATTTTTACCGAAGATGCTTTCTTGAAAAATACATTTTTATGCGTTTTCTTATGCCTTTGCGCCTCTAATAATGAAAATTTACCAGTTTTACCATGATCTGAAGTCGGCGGTTGGAATTTTTCTCCATATGTATCATTTTATGTAGATGCCGAAGGCACTGGGAAGTATCCTGAGTGGTAGCATTTGTCAACAATTGCCAGTCGCCGGTAAAACTATAGGATGCTTTTTTTAGAGTTGCTTAGAACCAACGTAAAGGTGGTTTTGATTCCTTAAGGTGTGCTAGTACTAATTTAATATCGAAACGAATTTAGTAGAAATTTGAAAATTGTTAGATTTTATCAAAAATGTTGTGTAAAAATGAGCCTTTCCTACCCACAGTTTCCTTTCTAAGGCCCGCAATCTTCTTTTAACAACTGTGCAGTTCCAGAGTTACGAACAAATACGCTTCACTGCTTTCTAACTCGATTTGATGTCTGCTTGCAAAAAATAACTTCATAAAATTGCAGAAAATTAGCAATGCACGGCTCAAGAAAACCTCAGCGGCATCATGAAAATGACGAACAGAGGTATAATTTCCACAGCAGCTTTTGTTATTAATTTTATTCCTGTTACTATTATTATTAACTACTTTTATTACTGCCTGCTTGTAAATAGCCCTCGAGAAAGACAGTCGTCGACGCGCGGGGCTAAAACTAACTCGTGAAGGAGAGGACGAAATTCCTTTCACCCCTCCGTTATCCCCTCCCCTTGTTCGTTTCCCTCTTCGTTTTCCCTGTGGAACTGGCGTGTTGAAGCAGAATTGCTTGGTGTCATAAAAATGTGCGATAATCTTAAAAGTGCACTGTACTTTCCGGCTGCTTCGTGAGCCATCGTACAGTAAGGTTTTTTTTGCAAAAGAGGCCCCTTCGAGAATCGCTGGTTACAGTAATTGCCCCAAATTGCTGTAAGAGCTTGCTGCTGTTTCTTAGCCACCCATGTTGAAAATTTTTCCCCTCACAGGGTCAATTATCTATGCCTCATAGATACATGCTCGGAACTTTCATTACATTTTTTTGTACAATTCTTAATTGTCAGAGAGAATCCAGAAGCAAATTGAAGCTCGAAGAAAAATTTTATGCCCTCTTTCATACACTGTGATGCATTTACATTAAAATTCATTCAGTGTTACCGCATCCAGGAAAGGAAAAGCGAGTGCGAGTTGCCTATTTTTTGTAAAAAAAGAACTTATGATAGAATTATCAAGAATACCGAAACTAAACGAGCAGTAAGTGTGGGTTTTCCAAGTATGTGATGTTACTGGAATAAATCCACACGTCGGGCGCAGCTGTGCCAGGTCCTTCGATCCTAAATGATCACGTTTTTGAAATGTAATGATATTATTTTAACATTTTCGCCTATTCTATATTGAAATTATCACTGCGCATATTATTACTTTTTTCATAACATTCATCATCTTTCAAAATTACTTCCGTACTCGCCCTCTATGGGAGGCGGAAGGGGCACTCGGGAAATAACCCAAGTGGTGACAAATGTCAGCAGCATCTATCCTATGGCAAGGTTTTTGATGGCTCTCCCTTTCTAAAGTTGCTTAATAGCGGACCTGCTGACGAAATGAATCGACAAAACATAGAGATACTGGTTTCCCTACCGATTGAGCTGAAAACTCGACCTGCTGAGCGGCATAGTGCTATTTCCCCAGCATCATGCCCACGCCAACATTTTTAATACTTACGATTATCATATCCCCTGCGCAGTAGGAAGAAAACAAAAGATTGCGAGCAAGCTGATCAGTAGTTGATACAGCACTGATCAGAGCAATTAGAAAAATCGCCAGGTACATAGAATAATGCTGTTAATTACAGACAATTCAATTATCAATATTATTCTCATGGTTTTCACTTAACAAACTTTGCTTCCCGGAATTTTTTAAGATAATTTTTCTCAAGCAAGCCTTGCTTTATTTAAAAAAAAATTTTTGAGAGTAGGAAAACCAAACCTTATTAAATTTTTTTTTCGATCAGCTCCGGTTACCTTGCTAGCCAGAAACAATTTTTATTGGCTACATTTTTATCCCGCTTGACCAAACTTTCTGGTGATGGCATCCCATCTTTCAGGCGTAAGATAGGCCAAAATCTTGGTTTGGGTGCCCCTAAGTGTAAATGCTTCTTGGTGCAGTGAGCTGGCCTGTGTATTTTTACCTAAGTTTGGGTCTGGCGCTAGATCTGGATCTCTTTTTTCAGTGACTATAAACTGACTTAAGGTACTTCTTTGGCCAGATTTTTCAATTTTATTTTCAAAAAAATTTTTTAAAAAATAACCAAATTAAGAAATTTTTAGTTAAAAATGTTTTTTTTACACATTGTTTGCGCTTCTAAATTCAATTTTTCACACCTGCAGACGATGCGGACGATTTTTAAATTTTTTGACCATAAAAAGAACTGCTTTTTCACCTTTTTATTATGCGTATGATAGGTCTTTTTTTTCTATCTGGATAGTTATTTTTATACCCCAGATCAGATGCTACTGTGTTATTTTTTATTGATGCAACTGGCAACTGCTCCATTCTGCTTAGTTATAAGCTCGTCGCGGTCTTATTGCTTCATACGGCCGTTGAAATGAATTCTTTCTTTTTATTAGCGATTTCCCAGTACCCATTTAATTTCAGAAGGAAACTTCTTCGATAGTTGAAAAAGACAGCTATATCTTTCAGGCCTTCAGCCACACAGCCGTTAAGTTTCGAAGCAAAATATTCAAGTGTCGGAGATCACGCTGCGGATACGCCGGCACAGCTATCTTCTTCCGCCAGAAAGAATACTGTAGAATTGAATCTTACGAAAGTGTTACCAGCAGTAGCTCAGAAAGTTGCAGCGGATTATTTGAACAATTCATCGGCTATTGATTTTTCGAATCCAGCATTCACCGCAGGAACCGAAGAAACGAAAAACGAGATAAGTGAGGCGTTTCTGGATGGAGGTTTGAGTCAAACCGTGACCGAATCAAGTCAGCTTCCAGATCGAGTCATTCCTGAAACCAGTCAGCCTCATCAGTTTAGTGCCGCCGAATCTAGCCAATTTCCAAACCAGAATGTGGCCGGCTCCGGGAGTTTCGTGAATCAAATTGCCACTGTATCCAGTCATGTTCCGATCGGATCTGGTCAGCTTCAGGTCGAAGTCCACGTCAGCGAGAAGCCTAAAAAACAAGAAATTTCAGAAGTTGAAATTGTGACTGATGGAGTAGTCGGGAATCAGGAAGGCCTTAGGAATATCAAAGCTGCAAGTGAATTAGTTGTTGGAAAACACGATGAAATTCCAAAGCAACTTAAAGTTGATGAGGAAAGTTCAGGAAGCGAACAGATAGCTAGAAAAAGCGAAGTAACTTCTGGAGGTGGTGAAATGAAGGTTGAGCATGGATTAGCGAGAAGTGATTTACCGAAACGACTCAAGGATGATGAGGAGAGCTCAGGACTTGCGACTTCGATTTCAAACAGGAATAGTAATGCATCAAAAGCATCAACACTGAGCAGCTGTGTTACATCTTCCAGCACCAGCTTGCAGCAAAAAGGTCATTTTTTGGCACTGATTCTATTCTTGTTTCTAAGTAAACTAAAAATAAGATCGAGCATGCCAAAACCCTCGCTCTTTGCACTTTCACTAAAAGCCGAAGCATTCGGAAAGTAGCCCAATTGGTAGCAAATGCCAGCATCAACCGCTCGTTGGCAAGGCTATTGACCTGTCTCCTTTTTAAAGTATCAATAGTCAGCCCCCTCCAC